CCTGTCCCTGTATCCCCATGTCCCTGCATCCCTGCCTGTCCCGGTATCCCCCCGCAGTGTCCCCATGTCCCTGCATGTACCTGTGTCTGTATCCCTATGTCCCTGCATCCCTGCCTGTCCCTGTATCCCCATGTCCCTGCATAGACCTGTCCCTGTATCCCCCCGCAGTGTCCCCATGTCCCTGCATGTACCTGTGTCTGTATCCCTATGTCCCTGCATCCCTGCCTGTCCCTGTATCCCCCTGCATGTCCCCGTGTCCCTGCATCCCTGCCTGTCCCTGTATCCCCCCGCAGTGTCCCCATGTCCCTGCATGTACCTGTCCCTGTATCCCCCTGCGTGTCCCTGCATCCCTGCCTGTCCCGGTATCCCCCCGCAGTGTCCCCATGTCCCTGCATGTACCTGTCCCTGTATCCCCGTGTCCCTGCGTGTACCTGTCCCTGTATCCCACTGTGTGTCCCCATGGACCTGCATCCCTGCCTGTCCCTGTATCCCCCTGCATGTCCCCGTGTCCCTGCATCCCTGCCTGTCCCTGTATCCCCCCGCAGTGTCCCCATCTCCCTGCATGTACCTGTGTCTGTATCCCACTGTGTGTCCCCGTGTCCCCATGGTGTTCCCACAGTGGCCCCATGTCCCCACGGTGTCCCTGAGGGTCCCCATGGTGTTCCCATGGTGTCCCCATATTCCCGCATGTTCCCATGTCCTTGTATCCCTGCATGTCCCCACGTCCCTCTGGTGTCCCCACAGCACCATGCTGTCTCTATGTGTTCCCATGTCCGTGTATGTCCCCACATCCCTGCACATCCCTGTGCTCCCAGTCCCCCGCTGGAGTTTCCGTTCCCTACATGTCTCTGTATCCCCATGGGTTCCCACATCCCCACAGTGTCCCTGTGTGTCCCCATGTCCCTGCATGTGCCATATCCCTGCGTGTCCCCGTGTGCCCTTGCATGTCCCTGTGCCTCTTGCACATCTCCAAGTGTCCCCAAGGTGTCCCCATGTCCCTATGTGTACCCATATCCCCATGTGTACCCATGTCCCCACATGTCGTTGCCTGTCCCTGTGCCCCCTGCACATCCCCATGTGTCCCCAAGGTGTCCCTTGGTGTCCCCATGTCCCTGCATGTGCCCATATCCTTGCGTGTCCCCATATCCCCATGTGTCCTTCCCTGTCCCTGTGCCCCCTGTGCATCCCCGTGTGTGCCCAAGGTGTCCCTTGGTGTCCCCATGTCCCTACATGTGCCCATATCCCTGTGTGTCCTTCCATGTCCCTGTGCCCCCTGCACATCCCCGTGTGTCCCCAAGGTGTCCCTTGGTGTCCCCATGTCCCCGCATGTGCCCATATCCCTGTGTGTCCTTCCATGTCCCTGTGCCCCCTGCACATCCCCACGTCCCCATGGTGCCCCCATCATTTTCTCATGTCCCTGTGTGTACCCACATCCCTGCGCATCGCCGTGTCCCCCGTGTCCCTGTCCCCTGCACACCCACCT